GGGAGGGCGGTTGATAATATGGAACTGTCCCTCAAATAAATTCTTATTTATCTCCAATCAAGCTTATATGATGATACTAGTTCTGTCAGGTCAACAAACAATTCTGAAATGGGCCATTTAGGTAATTTACTTTAAATGCCATTTTAATTTAAAATACCTTGCTAAAAATATGTATCCATGCACAGATCTATTGCATTAAATTCAAATGCATAGTTATTTGGAAGCTATTCTATCTTCTCTGGAATTTCACCAGTACTGAAAAATCTTACCTCAGTCCCCAAAGGTTCAGATAGCAGTAAAACCTTTAGCTTACAAGCCAACTTAAAGCTTTTAACTCTTGGTTTTTTTTGTCTAAAGAAACATTCATTTCTCTCAGATCCAAAATGTGGGCAATTTCTAGACTAACTCGTTGAAACACAGGATTTCTCGCAGTTAGCTGCTCCAGTGAAGCACAGCTGCTTGTTATACTATTTGTAATGATTTGTTTCAGCCTCCAAGATATTAACTGAGTTTGTGTTTCAGTGTAATTTCTAGCCAACTAAGACTAAATTTGTTAGTGAAGTACAAGTGGACATCATACAGGCTAGTCATTCAGATGACTTTAACTCAAGCATGGCACTTCTGAGAAGCATTTTGGTTAATATAGCCAAGTTCTTAGGTAAACAGTATGTGAATCTGTTGGGAATAGGTTTTCCTGCTTAACTTCATGGTTGTACTGACTTGCTTCTGGATATGGTGTTCATTCAGATGATGCACTTGTGATTCCTTGACACTGATTTTTTTTTGCTTTAAGAACTTTGCATGATGCCTGGTACTTCTGATTAAGTATCTCGAGCCTCTAGGAATGCCTGTTTTGAAGTAAGGACATAATCTTTATGTGAAGTCTCTTCACGCTCCTTGATATTTCTATCCTGGTTTAGTAGTTCTTCGCGTAGCTCTAGGAATCATTTGACTCGCTTGATTGGTCAGTCTCGAACAAACGATAGCAGGTAATTAAATTATATGAACCAGATGTCTATGCCTGTGCTACTCCTAGAGTATTCTGTGCACCTTAGTGATAAAATTAGAGGCAGCATTTGTAATAATGAAACAATCCTCTGGACATACCTGCACTGTCAGAGGACTTTGCTAGGGAGTATTGCAGCAGTGTGTGGCATATCCACTCTCTGTATGCTACACCCCCAGAAAAGTGATGTAGGCAGCATGGATCCAGGGAAGGTACACTGGTACACTTACACCTCTCTTTGATTGCTGCTTCACCCAAAGTTTAAAACCAGCTGCCTGGCAGTGGTGCAGCATATCTGGTCAGGCAGTGCTGAAGGAGTGGATTGACTTCCAGGCTCATTATAAGCTACCGGATCCTTTCTAGGCTCTTCATTCCACGGGTGTTAACAGCCCTCTCTTCTTTTGGATAGTCTTGATGTCCCACCAATCAAGCTGTCTTTTGTTCTGCGGTTCTTCTGTTAGCTGCTGCTGGTAACGAAGCTCCTATTTCACAGCTTTGCAGATTGTTTTTTACTGATTCCACTGGAGTTATATTTGTTTTTGCCTCAGTCGAACTGCGTAATACAGCCACAGGCCCCTAGCATATTCATAAAGATTCTAGTTTATTTTTAACTAGAGAAAAATATGTGCTGTTTTATGTGTTGATGCACCTTGCCATCTCTACCCCTCTCCTTCCCCCTTCTCAAAATTCTAGATCTTCCTATGAATGTAGCTGATGTTAAGGTCATACTTCTTGTGTGCCAAAAACCTGTCTTGGAGTGCTTGTTCCATCCAGTGCAGCACTGTGGTGCATGTCAAGCAAGCGTGCTCTCAAAAAGCATTGTAGACGTGCCCTCTCCGTGCAACTAACAGTAATCCAGATCAGCCCTTGTGTTATATATCGACTGCATTACAATTTAGAACCTATTTTTCTTGCAACAGGGCTTAAAAGCTACACTTGGGCCATGATAGGCAAGATGTTAACACTTCCTTGAAAACTTAAATTGACTTTTAAAAGTAATTTAGCTGAGAAATAACTTCTTATATTTATAATGAAGTTTCTTCCTTGTTCCTGCTTTACTGTTGTGAATACTTTGCATGCAAACTGGGTGCTTACTCCATAGGACTGCAACCACTTTGCACTCTGAGCCAGATCCAGCTCTTTTCTCTACTTTTTACTGGATGCCGGCTGGAGTGGAGCCCATGTGATTCTGTTTGATAATTAGTGTGTGAGGGGATTAAAATATGAGGCGCTTTAGCATGAGTGCGTGGAACAGATTGGAGCTCTGTAAACTTTCCCTGCTATGGAGGGGAATTGGAGGTAAAAGATAATTGTTTGGTGGTAACCAGAGTATAAATGTCAATGAATTATTAGCCATGTGGATGTGTGCTTCAGCTGGAACGTGAGTGAAGGAATAAGCAACCACAGACAGTTCAGTTACTTGATTCTCCTGCAGTCTGACAGGAGAATGTTTCTCTCTGCCTCTATCTATTCACCCTCCTTGATCATTTGGCTTAGAGAAGAGCTTGCTCCTCTATGAAGTCACTCAGTAGTTGCATGGTGGTATTCAGACCAGCCAGTTCTGGTGACCCCCAATAAAGGACTGTGAGTTCAAATGAAAAACGGTTTCCCTATTCTCATGAAAGCAATCATAACCAAGAAAAAGGGACGACAATTAAAATAAGATGGCATACTTTACTCAATTTCTCAAACTTTTTCATAAGGTATCAGGTACAGCTTTGAGATCACATTTTTGGCAGGAATTGACAGACTTTACTTTGTGTTGTTTGTAAATGCATTGTCGCGTATGGATTGGTGAGTTGTTCCAGGGAGATATAAGAATTGTGCATGTGTTTCCTCTTTAGGGGTGAAAAATGCTAAGGTTACATTTTCATCAGGAGACAGGTGCAAATGTTAAAAATGTTTCCCAGCAAAAAAATAAATAAAACTGCATTTGATTGTGCATTCTGTCCCAAATTGGATGCTGATGTGAAAACCCATTTTCCTTCATTATGCATGTGTTTTCAAGAACTATACATACCACCCACCTCCCAGCATGATCAGGGAAAGTCCTAATGTGCTTCTAAAAATAATCCAGCACGATCTGGGTCCAATTCTGTATTCACTGAATTCAGTGGGAGTTTTGCCAGTCTAGGAGGGAGAAGCAGACCCACTACATGCAGATATATACGTTTGTTTTAAATCAGAGAAAATAAATTGTAGTGAAATCAAAATATAACATTTCTTGCTCTTTAGATTTGTGATGGATCACTCTCCTTTCAGAAAGTCTTTTAAGAAACGGAATATTCCATATAAACTAAGGCCCAGCAGGGATCAATTGCTATTTGGTATCGGCTTGTGCCTGCTGATTAATTCTTTACGTCTCTAGTCTTGAATCGTGATGCAATTGTTCTTGGAGAACTTGGCAGTAGCAAGCCGGCGGAGCTATTATTGACCCAGAATAGCATCTGGAAGCAATGGTATTATTAATACAATAAACAAGGTTTTCTGTGAGCCATTGTGCTACTCTATGGAGCCAATGAGCTAGTTAACACCTTTTACTTATTCTATAAGGAACTCGGGCTGGAAAGGAATTAATGAAGTTGTGAAGCACCGAGACCTGAAATAGCAATGATTCGGTTATAGTAGAGCCAAATCTTCTTAAAATTAAACTCTATTGTGTTAGAGATTTTACTTTTCTGATGCCTATTTTATTAACTTTTCTGATAAGAGGAGGAAATGTAATACAGTGATAGTGGAGAAGCCTTGCACGTTAAATCTAAGCTATTATCTCAGGGGGCTATATAAGAAGAAACTATATTTCATCTTGTGTGTTATGGGACTCAGATGTGTGGAATGTCTGTTTTTTCAAGGTTACCATACAATTCCTGAGCCCTGTTTTCTTGGCCTGTTTTAATTTGCATAATTTACACAAATATTGCACACAACCTATTTGAACGTTTGGGTGATTTCCCCTTCTGTTTTGTATGTAATCTATAACAAAATATATTCCCTTGGCCTAGGGATTGGGACTCTTAAAGGGGGCGGAGAAGAGGCTTTCATTTGGAAGTTGCTTATGGGACTATGGCTTGTATCCTTGGACTTTGATAACATGTATGTAATAATGTTTTTAGCACTGAAGTGACATTGTAGCCGTGATGGTGCAGAAAATATGTGAGGCAAGCATTTTTGTGGGTGATAACTTTTCTTGGATTCACTGCATGGTTGGGCTACCTGAAAGCTTGTCCAAGTCTATCACAATACCCTTCCTTGGGTCTCTGGGGGAGAAGCATATGCAGAATAGTTTAGGTTGTAGACTTTGTTTTGTAAGCAGCAGTGTGTCAACAGCTTATCTAAGCTTATCCCAATCACGCAGTTGGCCCAATAAAAGAGATCATCTGCAAAAATTCTTGCCTCTTGCATGTAACAGTTGAGACCAACTTATTGAAATACATGAGTTCCAACCCTGGTCTCCATATAACTGGAGCTATCAAGGACAGAGTATACACTGGGGTTGTCAGTCCAGGCGGGGTTAAAGTACGTTAGCAGGAGGCTGGAGAGGAAGCTTGCACTTTGTCTGTCCCTAAGGAAAGCTTGTTACCTTAAATTGAGTAAATTTTCCATTTATCGTCATCTGTCTCAAATCATTTTTATTTTAAAAGAAACATTTCTACTGCAAACTTTGTTTGTATAGGGGCATCACTGAGTGTGTGTGGGATTACCACCCCCTTAGCCCCCCCGCCTGTCCTGCAAGCTTATGGGCCAGCTCTGATGACTATTCAATAAATATTTATAGTTACTGCTCGAGACAGTCATCCGGAACAACAACAACAAAAAGGTTGCTTCATTTTGTTACTCATGAAACCCTTAACTTCTGCCTTTCTGAGGTTGCAGTCAGAAAGCACGAAAAGTTCACATTTGGGACTGGATGTGACTTGACATACTTCACTGTCTTGGTTCCTGTTTCATTGCAGATTATTGTTCATGTAACAGGAAGGTTTTATCTGTCGTTCAGGAGACTTCCTCCCCCAACACGCGCTCTCAAGGCCAACATTGCAGTTAAGGAAAATGGAGCTTGCAGATCTACTGAAATTTGCCTTCATAGAAATGAATGGTACAGCAGTAACTGTGGCTCTGCTGATGGGCTTCCTAGTCCTACTGTATTGGTAAGTACTTTTTTTGCTAACGTGAGACATATGCAGTACTCAAAGCCAGCAAAATCTGACCTCTACTGTTCTTATCACAACTAAATTATCTCACTGTTCACTTTTGACCAAAAAAAAGTGGTGGGGAGGTGGAGGCAGATGCAAAGATTAGAAAGTCATTTTACTTCAAAGAGTTGTCCTTGCTGTTGATTTTTGCAAGAGAGCTGGAGATGGGAGGGAGCGTTACTAAAATTTGTAGGTTTTTCAGGTAACTTCTACAGAACCCTATCAAGTATCTGTTGATCACTTGAGTTTTTTCATGGGATATAGAAGTATTAAATTATCAGACTTCAAAAGAAAAGAATTAGTGTTGGTGGCAGTCTTGTTAGACCTGCTTTTGACTGTACTTGCAACTGTATGTACCCTTTACTTGGCTCTTTAGGTCAGACTTAGTGGCATTATACACACTGCTTGAATTTCTTAATTTAATTTTGTTCCTTCCCATACTGGGTGCTTGCGTACATGCTAAAATGGTGTTAGATATAAAAATAAACATTGTATAAAATAGGGAGGCTTGTGAGGAAGTAGTGACCTGGGTTCAAAGAGAATCTTGGCCAGATGCATTTTTGGCAACAGAATAATCTAAGTGAGGATAATTTAGTTCTCATCTCTGCTCTGGTTTTGCTAGGGCCATTCCTTAAATCTTCCTGCCTCACCATCAGACATTCCCAATCCCAGGAAGAGACTAAAAGACAATTAAAAGAAATCCTAAAGCGTAGTTAATAAGGATATGGAAGTTGGGTGGAAAAGAATGCAATAAGAATGCCATAGTTTTATTATAGGCATTACTCCAGTTGTGTACATGAGATGCTCTGCCTTTTGTGCTTCCTTGCATATTCCTGTTTTACAATCTCTGGGGGCATCATCCAGTTTTTATTTAAGCCCATTGACTCCAGGACAGTCAAAACAGGTCCCTGGAGACTTTGTGGTATGCATTAAGCAGAGATACTGGTGCTGTAGTTTTTAAGAGTTGACCCAAACCTCTTTAACAACAGCAACAACAACAACAAAGACAAATAAAAGACTGACTTAGTGTGTTATAGTCCACTTCTCTCCCCCCACCAGAAAATCTTGCTGCCGGCTATCCTGTTGTTCGATGTGGACTGTGGTTTAAAAGCCACAGTCTGGCACATAATCATTACAGTGTGAAACTCCTGTTACTTCGTTGGGAGTTCACCTGAATAAGGACCATAAGACTGGGGCATAAAAATGAGTTCATGCTGTTTTTAAACCATGCTCGACTTCATGGGTCTCATAAGTGGGTGGTGGGGAGGGAGGGATGGTGACATGTTTCAGTGAGCCAGAAAAAAGGGGCTGGAGAGCTTCAGTGATGTAGCAATAATCGGGGTTTTCCTATCTTCTGAAACTTCCTAACCTTGTATCCTACCTTTAAATGGGTAAATCTGTTGTCCAAACATTGTATGTGCTTCTTGAGAGGTCCTGCTTTTGTTGAATCAAAAATAATCTTTTTTTCAAATTTGAGTTAAGATGCTAAAGCAGTGGTTCTCAATGTTTTTAGATCAAGGGCACACCTTGGAAAATGCCAGATCGTAGCTTTTTACTTGTGTTTTGATGACAGAAAAATAATAGAGCAATTCTTTGGTTGCATAAAACTTGGGAAGACTCCAGCAGGCCAGACTGTTCTGAAATCTCTGGGTTTGTATTGTGAATCACATTTGCACACCTAACCACAGCACCCTGTTTGAAAATCACTGCATTAACATTGGGCAAAAATTCACCCTTGAGAGAAGCAGCGGTGGATTAAGATTTACTGGAGCCCTGGGCAAACAGAAACTAAGAGGCCCCCCACGCCCCGTTATAAGCATGAATGTATCAAGGGGAAGCATGGAGGATGCCCTGTTTTGCTGGGGGGAGAGGGATGGTCCCTGTAGCCGTGGCTGGGCTGGGCTCTCACCAATGTCATGGTGATTGGTGGCCTGGGAGTAGTTGTCGTGGAGCACGTAGCTCTCCACCTGCAGCTCCGCGGGTGTTGGTGCTGTAGCAGGTCAGGTCGAGCCCGACCCCAGCTGCAGAGACATTGGGACTGTTGGGCATTGGCAGCCACTGCTGGGGGCTGCTGGCTCCCTGCCCAGCCCTGCCCCAGACCAGCCCGGAGTATCGCGCCTTCCAGCCTGCAGAGACTTACTGGTGCTGCAGACAGTGTGTGGCTATGAGCACCCTACGTGAGGCAAGGAGGCTGCCCCCACAGAACCGGTGCCCCAGCTGAAGGACTGCCAAGGGCAGCACCACCAAGCCCCTGACCACATGTCTGAGCTGCAACCAGCTCTTCCCACGCTGCTTCCCGTAGCACTGCCTGCAGCCCAGGGTGGGACCTTACCAGTCCCCGCATGTCAGCTCTACCTTGGCTTTGACCTGGTGTCCGCCAGCACTGTGGTGCCTGCAGGAAGACAGCCGGTCACTACTCACCCCTGGCGCGTAGAGTTAGCCTGATCTCTGAATTTTTTCCCGGGGGGCCCTTGATTGGCAGGAGCCCCTGAGCCCAGGCCCTGCGGGCCCGTGTGTAAATCTATCCCTGTAAGCAAGCGTGCTATGTGGACCTAATGGAGTTGAGAGTTGTGCCTGATTTGCCAGTTGTGGTTTTGAACCAGTGTCTGTGCCATCATCTTTCAGGTGTCATTTACCTTTGCTGTACATGTGCTTTAAAAGTATAATCAGTACTGTTTAAAGCCAAAGAAAGGCTTAAAAAATTGTAAATGGAGGACCAGAAAATTGCCCTTGTTTAGAGACCAAGCATCCATTGCAGGGTTCATTCCCTTTCTTGAAAACAGGAATGATTTAAGGAGGTATCAGCATATAGAAGAGACTGAGCTTTTTTAAAAAGGAAAGAATTTTTGAGCTTTAACTACTGTATTTACTTGAATATAAGATGAGGTTCCCCCTCCCCAATCAACATGGTGAGCAGGGAAGCCCCTTGTTTTACATTTGCATATAAAGAAACCTCATAAAATACATTGTCAGTGACTAAACTGCTGTCAAAATCAGCATGGGCTCAGCAATGGAAACCTGCTATGAGACTGAACAAATGTAGTCAAGGCTGAGCATGACTGTAAAATGCATGGCCTACATGAGTCAAATGTACTGATGGGAACCTACCACGAGAATAGGTTAGTGCAATTCATATGAATAAAATATATGGTAATGCTCATTGAGCACAGTACCCCTCAGCACTGACTCTTTCATGTCATGATGATCTGTGACATTGAATACATTTCAAATTTCTCCATCCCCACATCTGAGCTGCACCTTTCTTTCCCATTTCCAATGAGTCCTATTTTTAATCAGCCTTAAATGTCTAGCAAACATCACCGTGAAGTCACCATGGCTTGAAACACTGTTGACTCTGCTAGGGCCTAGCCGAGTGAACTATATGTTAAATCATGAGTCTTTTGGCTTTGGACTAATGCCGTGCATAGTTTGTATTCTATACAAGTAGGGACAAAAGTGTTGCCTAAAAATGTGTTTATGAAGTACCAGTGCTACCTTACAGAAGTTTCAAAAGAGGTAAACTTCATCAATTCTGGATGAACTAAGTCTATGGGTACCTGTAGTAACTTCCTTATATGCAAGTTACTACAGGTATGTTTATTCTAGGCCACTGTTCGTAAATTTGTATCTGACTTCCGTGTACTCAGGGAGAGCATGGTCTAACTGTAAGGAAGAGGGGAAAGGACTGCAGGAGAAAGAAGTTTGGGTGGGGGACAAAGCAAGGGGGCTACCTGAGCCCCAGATTTATTTTGCTTGCTGTAGCAGTGAAAGGGGGACAAATTCAAGGCAAACCTCCAATAAATAGATTCAATACCTGTAAAATTAACAAGGTGATACATTTTCCAGAGAACCTAATCATTGGGACATCATCTTACAATCAGGGTAGTCTTATAGGGGTGGCAGTGGATATAGTTTTCCTAGACTTCAGGAAGGCTTTTGATACTCTCTCTCACCCCATTCTCATTAGGAAGCTGGGGGACTGTGGCGTAGACACCCATACAGTCCAATGGGTCGCCAACTGGTTAGAGAGTCGCACCCAGAGGGTGGTAGTGGATGGGTCCTTCTCGACCTGGAAGGACGTGGGAAGTGGGGTCCCACAGGGCTCGGTCCTTGGGCC